TTTTGCCTTTGTTCTTCTTGCTAGAAGAGACATATCCCCCTAAAAATATTGCTAAGACCAATGTCAAAGATTTTACTGTTTGTATTATCTTCTGGAGTTTCATGGTTTCAGGTCTTACATTTAGGTTTGTAATCCATTTTGAGTTTATTTTTGTATATGGTGTAAGAAAGTCATCCAGTTTAATTTTTTTGCAAATATCTGTCCGGTTTTCCCAACACCATTTATAAGAGAGACTGTCTTCCCCATTGTATATTCTTGCTTCCTTTGTAGAAGATTCATTGACCATACAAGCATGGCTTTATGTCTTGGCTCTCTATTCAGTTCCATTGATCCATGTGTCTATTTTTGTTCCAGTACCATGTTGATTTGATTCCTATAACCGTGTAATATAATTTGAAATTAGGGAGTGTGATAACTTCAACTTTGTTCTTTCTCCAGATCGCTTCGGCTATTCGGTGTCTCCCATGGTCCCATATAAATGTTAGGATTATTGATTCTAGTTCTGTGAAAAACTGAGATCCTAATCCTAAACTGGATGTTGTCTGTTCGTTGAAAACTATGAAGAAGACAGTCTCAGCCTCTGCATTGATAATTGAGTAGAATTGTTCTTATTTAACAAGCCGTCACAACAGCATACTCCACCAGACCTTAGAGAGGATATTTGGCGCTTACTGAATTGAAAGTGAAGATCTTGGCAGGGAGCAAGGGAAGTGGGAACTGAAGACACCCTTGGCCAAGGAGTAATATAAAAATAGGAAAATGTTACTTGTGTTATGGGAATGGGTGGTGCTGAATATATCAAACTGATTTTTTTTCTGCCAAGAGGAAGAAGTCTAAACCAAAACTAAAACAAGAACAAAGTTTTAATTCTAAGAAAGACTTCCAAAAATATGATTTTAATATTTTTGAAAAGTATCCTAGAAAAAAAGCATAATTATGTCATTCTCCATCTGTTGCCAAATAAGATAATTTACATGACTATCAGGTCAACTTTCATTTTCCGAGAAAGGCTCCTTTTCACAAAACAGAGTGCCCATGGGTTGTGATAGCAACTTCCCTTTTGAGAAGGACAACCAAAGAACAGGCTACCTCGATATCCACAACAACATGCCCCCCATACATTTCTAATTGAACAGTTCAGACTAGACTCTTTTCCTCCAAACCTTCTCCTCAACCTGTATCTGCTCCTAAATCCTGAGACTGGTGTTTCTCAGTTTTGAGCCCCGATATCTCTCATTCTAACTAATTCATCCCACGCATGCAATGCCAAGCCACTGTCTAAGCCTGTGCCCTAATTCATACGACAAAAGATTTACTAACGATCTACCATTTGCTAGGAGCTGTGCCAGGTGCTGGTCATGTAAAGGGGAATCACACAGACACTGCCCTGGTCCCTGTGAAACTTACATCCTAATGGAGAGAACAGGCATGAAATGAAGAGTTTGCAGAGGTAACTTTTAAGTATGATTATGGTAAACATTAAAAAGATAATGGGAATATTTGTGCCATAAGAGAATATAACTAAGAGAACTAACTTGGACTTGGGAGTAGGGAGGGAGGAGTTGATGAGGGAGGGAGGGTCTCAGAAGTGATGTGCGCACAGACGGAAGTTATCAGAAGAGTAGGTGGGGTGGAGAGAGGGCTGAGGTGGGAAGTGCCCAGAGTGAGAGGAGACATCTGTAAGAGTGCCAGCTGGGCGGGGGTTCTGTGGGCACATGGGCCTGAGAGACACCTACTGGGGAGGGACAGTGAGTTTGGGATAAATGGGCAAAAAATGATCCTGGAGAGATGCTGTGAGGCCAATCCCTTGAGCAGCGGAAGCGTTTCTAAGCTTGGGTTTGATAGAATCAGATTTGTGTTTTTAAAAGATGTGCACAGGAAATGGGGAGACAGTGGAGGAGCATAATAGAACTACAGGGAAGAGACAGGGTTTTGCACTCAGGTTTAGACGTGCCAAGTTTGAGATGTCAGGATCCCCAGTAAGGAATTCAAATAGGTGTACAGATATTCAGGTGACAGCGCAGAAGAGAGGTTCTAAGGCGTGGATAAACGTGGGAAAGTTCTTAGCCCACAGGTGTGGGGTGACATCACAGAACAGAGAAGTAATTCCTAAGAAGAGTACAGACTGAGAGAAAGATGGCCAAGGACTGAGCCTTGAAGAACTTTTATATTTAAATAACAGCATGCAGAGGAGGACTATCTGGCAAAGAGAACTAAAGAGGCATGATGGGCACAAAGACGAGGCAGTAACTGAAGGATGATGTGTCTGACAGTAGGAAGACATTTGTCAGTTGCGGCTGCAGGGTTGGGTGAGACAGGCCCAGAAGGAGATCCTTGGCGTTTGTTGGTTAGCACTGGTGACTAGCGCAGCAGCTGCATGTTAGAGCGAGGGCAGAAACCTGGGGATGGTGAGGAAGTAGAGCGAGGCTGCAGAAAAGTTTGGGGAAGTTTGTCTGAAGATGAGAGAAACAGAGCAGAAAGGAGAAAGGAATGTGCAATTCAGGGAGATACTATTTATACCTTCTTTCTCTTTGCATCAGAGTTTAGAACACGTTTATATTTTTATAGGAAGATTTTTACGGAGGTAGAGGCAGACAGTACAGGAGGAGAGTGGCCCTGGAGGACTGGACAACGGCATATGGGGTCCCTAAGTGGGGCCTGCGATCCACACCCAATGTGGAGCTGCATTGGAAGAAAAGGGCTATTTCTTCCATTGAACTCAGAAGGAAGGGGCAGAGGGAATGCATAGGTTCTGGATTAGGTCAGTCCTATTGAGAGAGGGCATGTCGTGGAACAGCTGCCATTGATAAAAGCAGCAGGAACTGTCAAAAAGATAGTAAGACCAACCCCCCACCCTCACCACTGGATTTATGGCTTAAAACTGGCAGACAGAGACCCGCTTGATCCAACATGGCAACTGATTTCATCCAACGGTAACCCCTAGCCTCCTTATACACTCGTTGTACTACATTAGCCCACTAAAGGACACAGCCCACACCACCGTGACCAGAAAATGAAAGCCCATATAAGGATGCAAAATGGCCCACGGGGGTCCTCTGAGCAATCTCCACCCCTTTCCCAGGAAGATCCTGAATATCCCTCTCCCTCATTTAATGCCCCTCCCCCTGCCTCCAACTAAATGAACCTCAGTAAAGGAAGCAAATTCTACTAAAAAAGGGCTGCTCTGCCCGTGGAGTGGCCCATCTCTCTGCTTCGCTAATAAACTCGCTTGCATTTTAAGGAACCAAAAAAAGGCTGTAGAATTGCCACTGAAAGGTTTACTACAGGATGAAAATTTCCCAGAAAGCTAGGCACTTCTGAGTAAACTGCAGAGAAGGAAGTGTTTTCAAGAACTAATTAACCTGAGACCATCATCAACCACAGCGCTACCAGAGATGTGTATGCTTACAGCAAGACAGGATGGAAGGGAAGAAGCCCGGTCCTTTTTTTTTTTTTAAATAGAAACTTCAATGGAGGTTTTACGTCTCCTCCGGGCTTCCTCGTTAGCAAAAATTCTCCATTAGCAACATTTTAACCTGAGTGTGTTCCCATAACAATAGCCCTTTCAGCCCCAGCTGGCTGGCTTCACAACCCCACACCCACCTGAATACACACTTGGACAACAGCAGTCACACGTGGGCCCGGTGCCCGCCTGGCTCTCTTACTAAGGATTTCTGTCTCATTTCCAATCGTATCTACAATACAATTCACAATTTAATTTACAATAGTCTTAAATTCCTGGTCAGTGTGTGCATGTATGAGAATATAGGCATATATATTTAGTTATGCTTTAATGAAAATATTATCTTTCTAAAACTAAATTTTGTTTATTAAAAATATTCAGATGACAGAAATCTCAAAGAAATAATTCAAAACTATTAGCTGATACGCCAATAAGAAGAAATTCCATCATGCCATTTGGTGAGCATGAGTGCAGCAATTTATTTTTTTAATTTTTTTATGGAGGTATAATTAACAGAACATTATATTAGTTTCAAGTGTACAACACAATGATTCACTGTTGTAAATACTGTGAATGATCACCACAATAATTCTAGTTAACATCTATCTTCATACATAGTTAAAAATTATTTTTTCCTGTGATAAGGATGTTTAAGGTCTACTATCTGAGCAACTTTCAAATATGCAACACAATATTAACTATAGTAGCAATATTTTTGTAGATTTCAGATAGAAAGATAAACCAATGGATAATGGGTGGATGGGCGGATGAATGGATAAATTCATCCATTGATAGACAGATAGATAGATAGACAAAGGGATAGTGAATGAAAAAGCAGCCCCAAAAGATAGATTATACAATACCAGTAATTGAATAATAAATGCCATTTATTTTACTGGAATTAAAGAAAAGAAAAAGAAGATAAAATGTGATTGAAAGACTGTACCTTCAATATTTGTTCACAAAAATATTTTAAGATCTCTTTATAATTAGTATTATGAAAAACATTAAAATGTGGAAGTCATTATATTTAGTGAATTGCTCCATTTTGGATGATATCTTTTAAATTTCTGCTGTGAAATATTAAGAATTTGGAACATTTTCTTTTATCCCCCTATTTATATCTTCCTATTTTTGTTAATTGTGTTATCATTAACAAGATTTATAACATCTTCTTCTTGTTCTGTAATAATAATTCCACAGTTGTTTAATCGTAGTCTGTATTAAAATTAATTTAATGATTCCTTTATATCTGACATTAAATTTTTCCTACTAACAAAATTAACATCTTGCTTGTATGCGTATGCTTATGCCTCTTTTAATAACTATATTCGATAAATATTTCCAAATACAGACCGCATTTGTGATGACCTTCCTCAAAGGGTTTTTATTTATGAAACACTTATCTTACCTTATCTTAAAAAGCTGAAGACAAAACACTCAATCTTAATGTATTTCTATTTGGGTAAAATTTGGGAAAAAGTACAAATCAAGTTATTATTACATTGCAATAACATTTGACAAATTTTCAACTCACATCACGTGTAGAACACAAGCCTTCACTATCCTTTGGACCCAGGAGTTTCTTCATGTTTTCCATTATGTTTTCTTTTCTCTGCTGTCTGAAAGCTTTCTCCTGATCACACAGAGCCATGCTAAATCGGAGGTCTGGGGAAGAACTGTATACAAAACACACAGTCATGAGCCACGGCCCCCGGAAGCCTTCTTATGTGCATCACCCGGCCCTCACAAGTCCCTAGCAGCTACGTTGACCCAGGCACATTGCTTCCCTCAAGCCATTCCTATAAGGGGACTTCAAACAAGATATAAAACATCGGCTATCTCAAAGCATGTTCTAAGGCATGCTCCACGAAAACAGCAAGTGTGTTTTAGAAAAAAACAATTAGGCAAACAAACAGCTCCATCAATTGTATGGTAACAATGGCACTTTTGAGAAGTGCTTCAGAAAAGAAACTTGTTTCTGTCTGTTTGGTACAGTAAAAGACCTTAAATTATGTATCTTTCTAATAAAATATTGTGTCTTTACCATTCATAAAAGTAAGCCCTTGCCTTCAGAGTGAGTTAAATTTAAGGCTCATTTCTGTTCATTCCATATGTTTCTTCCTTGTAAGACGTAGAATGGAAAAGACTCCCAGTGACACCTCTGGCCTATGCACTCTTTAGTGGTATTCGATTGCTGCCAATATTTTAATTACGGCTTCCCAAAGAATGAGTATAGAGAACTCACAGAGGACCAAGTATGAATAATAATGAAAAGTAGATGAATAAATATTTAAATTCACTAACAAACTTTTTAAATACAGATGTTATTAAATTAATAATTTAAAAATATTTTAAATATTTTCTTGCACTGGAAAAGGTAAAGTTATTCTCATACATTTATTTTGGAAATATAAATTAGTAAAAACACCTTTGAAAGGTGATTAGACAATGGGCACCAAAAATAATAGAAATGTATATTTTCTTTGACCTAGTAATTCTATTTCTGGATATCCACCTGAAGGAAAGGAACCATAAATTTTGAGAAGATCATTTAACTTTATTATCATATAATAAGGTCATAAAATTATAGTGTACCAAAACTTTGGGTAACACAATTATTAAATTTGATTATTATGAAGATTATGTAACAAGGCAGGAAAGAGTGAGATACTGAATTTGCAATTGTAAAGTGAAGTCTTGGGATAAACTCTTTTCTATTATTATTATTGATTATTACATATTGTTTGGTCTCTTCTAATCACTCAAAGAAATAAAAATCTTACCTGCACAATTGTCTCTGTGAATCCGCCTCAATTTATTTCCTTTGCTACCCATGAAGGGTAACTACTACCATATACTTGCTTTTTATTTTAATAAATTTCTTTATAACTTAACTATATATTTATGTCCTTAAATAAGCTATAGGGTCATTTTTCAGGCTTAAAATTTTTACATAAATGCTACCAAATGTATGTATTCTGCAAATTATTTTTTCCATTGAACATTTGTTTTTGAGATTCATCTCTGTTTATGTAACTAGAACTCAAACATTTTTACTATTGTGGGGTATTTCTAATATATGAATATAGCATGATTTGCTTATCCAAGAACATTGATGTTGCTTCCAATTTATTTTTACCTGTTACAAACAGTACCACTGTGAACATGTGGGATACATGTAGAAAAGTTTCCTATAATATATGCTCTTTGGAAAGAACATCTCATTAAGCCACCATAATAGATATAAAGTACTCTTTTCTTATTTTACAAATGCATAAAAAAGTGTTTAGAAATCTTCCAACCATTAATATAATTAGCAAGTAATAGATTTAAATACAGGACTTCTCATTCTGGGGCTTATGTTTCTTGTAATATACTATGATAATCATTATTGTCTTACACTGGGCACAAGAAGCATACTTTAAAAAAAAAAATCTATGAACAAAGCAATGAACATAGATGTTTAGACGGTATCAGTACAAAACTACCTGGAAAAAATTTTAAATGCTGAGTAATTTTATAAATATGGTAACAGAAGTAAGTTTCATTTATTTCTTCTCTTATATATAATCTTTAGTTAGTCTCCTTTTTAAATTTTATTTTGTATTTAATATATGATATTCCAAGGGAAATTGAATTTTTCTTTAAAGAAAACATTTCTATTTTAGAATCAAGATGGAAGTTTACATATAAAAATAGAGTTTGATTAAGTTCATTATAAATATATAATAAATTGCTTCTGGATATGTATACATTATTTAGCTGAGTTTTTCTACATTTTTTGATAACTGTGTTTTGTTACACACTATGGTCCTAATTATATCAGCTAAGACCATTCCCCATTAAAATAAATAGCATTACTTTCCTAGTCAAATGGCAAATATATTTCTAATCACATGCCAAATCGAATCACTTTTAAGCAAGAGTTAATGTGACGCAAAACAATGCAACACGGTAACTTGAACTGTCCTTTCAGGCTTTCTGACATACATTGAGGGACTCAGTGATATAGAAATTTATGCCAATAATTTACGAAGTCAGGTCAACTTGTTCCAGAGATCAAAATAAGAGGAAGAAATGTCTAAACCTAATGCCAAGGTATCATTTTCATACATTTGGCAAATCACAGAACAGGAGAATGTGACACTAACTGATGTGGTGTTTGTGTAAGTAAAATTTGTATCGGTAACGAGTAAAATCCACTTCAGCTGGGACATTCAGAGGGACACACAGAGGTTGAAGGACGTGAGATCTGCTGAGACCTGCACTGGATAAGAGACCATCGGATTCCCAAGGCAGGCCTGACTCCCCTCGGATCCACCGTTGGAAAATAAATAAATGATTTTCCAACTTTCATTTTTAGAACTCACTTTGAAAGAGCAATTCCTGGCTGATTACCATGACAAAGTAGTCTCAATTTTCAGTTTTTCCTCTCTCTACTTTCCTGTTTACTTTCATGTCTTTTGAATATCTATCTATATCAATGATAGAAAATAGGCTTAGATAACTGTATTCATTTCTATGGGGATAAATACGTAACTTTCTAAAAGCCCTTATTTTGACATTATTTAACCCTCAAACTATAGGATACTTGAGCGAATAGTATTAGATTTATTTTTCAATGTTGTAGCTCTTAAGAGTGAGCTAAAGAAAAGCGAAGTACATTTAATGCATTTTTATAGTCAGAGTTGTTAGAATTATTTCATATATTATAAGTATACTTTTTAACAATTAAACCAATGGATCAGTCACAGTGTCTCCCACCCAATGAAATGAATGCACTTACCAAACTTCAAGGGACATTTCCAGAATCAGTTCCGTGACCTAAAAGAGATATATTAAATTAGGTCATAAATAGATGTGTGTTTACATAAGACAAACAAAGTCAAAATAATTTTTCAGTGGTAGATTATTCTTAACCTAAACAAAAACACTAAAAATAAAGGTGACATAGCTCCATGAACACCTTAAATTACAGATAAACTTCCATACAGTTTTTGCTGCTTTTTAAAAATAATATGTCTAATTAAGTCATTTTAGCAAATATAAGAATTGTCTTTGCATGCTATTTTTCTTCTTTCACTACCCTGAAGTAGTTCAGTTCCATAATTATTTTTCACGAAACATAAAAATTGTGTGAAATCTAAAAACTATAATGATGTTGTGTTTATTTTTCAGTAGCTGTCCCGATGCCTCAAAACCAGAAGCCAAAGTGTCCAGGAGGTTAAAGGAAGCCTGGGTGAAAATTTACACATGTGCATTTGTGCCATGTGAGGGCGGTAGTAAACTGGAGCCTGGACACCTTATCCAAAGAGGCCAGCAGGATCCAGGTACCAGCCAACTGTGGTCAGCTCAAGAAACATCTCCAAATGCAATGCGAGGCTCAGGTTTTTATTTTTTTCAACACTGTGTGAGCCAACCAAACTTACAGGAGAACCCCATCCTGCAGTGGGCCAATCTGGTTTAGGAGAAAAGAGAGTGACTGTGGACAAGAGTCCGCTCTCCAAAGTATATGAAGAACTCACACAACTCCACTACGGGAAGATAAACAATCCAGTTAAAAAATGGGCAAAGGACCTGAACAGACACTTCTCCAAGGAGGACACACAGAGGTCCCAGAGACCTAGGAAAGGATGCTCAGCATCACTAGCCATCAGAGAGATGCCAATTAAAAACACTTCACACCAATCAGTATGGCCATCATAACAAAAAATAAGTGTTGGTTAGGTTGTAGAGAAAAGGGAACCCTATACATTGTTGGTGGGAATGCAGACTGGTGTAGCCACCATGGAAAACAGTATGAAATTTCCTAAAACAACAAAAAATGGAACTGCCTTTTGACCCAGCAACTCTACTGCAGGAATTATACCCTAAGAATCTTGAAACACCAATTCAACAGAACCTATGCAACCCAGGGTTCATAGAAGCACAATTTACAATAGTCAAGTGCTGGGAGTAACCTAAGTGCCCATCAGTAAATGAGTGGATCAAAAAAACTATGATACATTTACACAGTGGAATACTACACAGCAGAAAGAAAGAAGGAACTTTCATCCTTGGTGACGGCACGGATGGAACTGGAGAGCATTATGCTAAGTGAAATAAACCAGGTGGTGAAAGACAAATACCATATGATCTCACCTCTAAGTGGAACCTAATCAACAAAACAAACAAGCAAGCAAAATATAACCAGGGACATTGCAATAAAGAACAAACTGACAGTAACTAGAGGGGTGAGGGAGAGGGATAATGGGGACAGAAGGGGAAGGGTCACCAAGGAACACATATAAAGGACCCAAGGAAAAGCCAAAGGGGAAGGGTTGAGGATGGGAGGTGGGGGTAGGTGGAGCTGGAGGAAGTGATGGTGGGCAAATGGAGACAACTGTACTTGAACAACAATAAAAAAAGAAAGGAAGAAATGAGAGTCGCTAATACCCACAAAGCAGAGGGATATTAAAAGTACCTTTCCAAGACCATGAATCTGTTGTGTAGAAAGACTTTTTCAGTACCCTCCTTGCCATTAGTTATAAATAATGTAGCCACAGGTTATTATGAGAACCACATAAGAAGTGTTTGGAAGGCTGTTGTACAGTTGTAAGATGATGCTGTTATTTTTGTCATATCAATTACCATAAGAATATAGTTACAGTGGACCTATTCAATACCTTCAAATAGAACAGAACTAGAATATGCCTCCTGAAACATGAAGAGGATTTTTTCAGAACACAAATATAAATATTTGGCTTTGTTTTTGTGTGTGCATGTGTGTGGTTTCAGGGGATGGAAAAAAACAAACCAGAAGGAGCCTTTCAAAAGGTTAAAATAAGTTCATGGATAACTCCCAGTGCTGAATTTTATGAGTAAGAAAAAGGTATTGAAGTAATCTGTACAAAAATTTGCCTCTCCCACTAAACTGTACACTTTGTCTTACATAGGTCTCTATTTCCAGTCTATTATTTGACATATAACGTATAACCAATAAATATTTGGTGAAATATTATGTATGTGTATGCAAGAGAGAGCTCATTAGGCAATCACTTCTTATCAAGAACATCTCATTTCTACTTGAGATAAAATCATGGGCTGGTCCAACCCAGACAGCATTTGTTGCATATGGAATTCTATGAACCTTCGGTCATTAAAGCAGCATATAATTATTACCTCAAAGTTAATGAATAATCAAGAATCACAGTACAAATGGTTTTTATTTTTTAAACATGCCCAGATGAATCATAGTTCAGTTATAAGTCAAAATGGTCATTGGCTTCTAAACAAATAATGTAATTGCTGTCTATTCTAGCAATGAAAATGCTGCTCAGACCACATCCCAGCACATTATGTATATCACCCATTTCAAAATTTCAAATGGAGTCTTTTCCAAAGAGAGATAGAAAAAAAATACATTAAAGGAGATTACTTTAGATATTTAGTAAGAAAAACAAGACATGGGTAAAACATGGTCTGTTTTTTTGCAAAAAAAAAAAAACCCAAAACAAAACAGGAAAACTACTCTTGAAATAAGACTAGATTTACTGTCTTTATCTTGAGAGGGCAAAAGCACCATGGGAGAATAGAAATTTAAAAAAACAACATTATAACTCAATATGGAGTTTTCTAACAAGTGGAAAGATCCAAAGCCAGAATGGACTTCCTATTTCTGTGTGCTTCTCCACAACAGAAAGTGTTCAGGGAAAAGCTGGCTTCCCAACTGGCAGGTTTCCAAGCAATTTATATATTAAAATATTTGATGCCTGAATATATCGACTGCCTACTTGCTCTAAAAAATTAATAAGTAAAAGGAAAAGTCAACTGTGCTGTATTTGTGGCCATATTTGTCTTCTCCATAAGAATGCCCCTTCCACATCCACCCATGATGTTTCATGACTAAGACACTCATGTTCCTAGATGGACTGATGTGACTCTCTCAGCGAAGGCAGGACGAGAGAAGACACGGCCTTTCCTTCCATTCGGAGGAGCCCAGACGGCATCGCCATGGTTCTCGTCATGCGGATTGGGACCCTTCCATGCGCTGCCCAAGTGCATCACCCACAATCAGGAAGGAACAGTAAACTCTCCCACCTGGGGCACTGTGTCCAGACATGCTGCAAAGACTGACATTTACAAGCTCTCCACACCTTTTACTTGGAACATGTTATTCAGATAAAATAGCCACAAAAATATGTACTTCCTGTGTGGCATTAAACAATTAGTGTTAACTCCTTCCCACACATGGCAAGAAGCATCTCAATGTTCTAGTCACCCGGGTTGCTTCTCCCCATCAAGGCAATGAGGAGAAGGGAAGGTGCTGGAATCTGCCCCAGCTCTCCCCAACCCCATAACATTTAGTTAGGGACCAGAACAAATGAGAATTCCTCCTCTCCTAGAAATTATAATGTAAGAAGCAAGCTGTATTCATTGTACATTCTTCTGGGGAAACAACAGCCTCTTTGAATTCCACCATGAAAAACAATTTTAGATGCTTACTATGGGAGATGTTCCATTGGGGGACAGGGTGGAAAACTAGAGCAGAGAAACTAATTATTTTTTAAAGTCATTTCAGCCCTGACTGGTGTGGCTCAGTAGATTGAGTGCTGACCTGCAAACCAAAGGGTCACTGGTTCGATTCCCAGTCATCAGGGCACATGCCTGGGTTGTGGGCCAGGTCCCCCCCTGGGTTGTGGGCCAGGTCCCCCCGTAGGGAGCACAGCCAACCACACACTGATGTTTCTCTCCCTCTCTTTCTCCCGCCCTTCCCTTCTCTCTAAAAATCAATAAATAAAATCTTTTTTAAAAAGCCATTTCAGACTTGAAAATACTTTTGAAAGTATCTAACCCACTAATACTCTTGCAAACTTTCCAGAGTCATTTTGAAATAATAAAGCTAAGGTAGCAAGAATAGTGCCTGGCATTAAGGAGGTCCTTTGAAATTATTGTTACAGAAAGATACAAATAGTCAAATAATTTTAAATCAGATGCGGACCTAACAAGTAGGCAATCAAGTGCACAGCAGAAATTAACAGCCTTACCAATACAAGCTAGGGGACATCTAAATAAATTTTTCATGTTTAAAAATGAATGAGACACTGCTAAAATCATTTTAAATACATATTTTTATAACACTAACATTTATTTTTATTGAGGTATAATTGACATATAATATTAGTTTCAGCAGTATAACATAATGATTAGATATCTGTGTATATTGCAAAATGATCACCAAAGTAAGTCTAGTTAACATATATGATTTCTTAATAAAATAAAACTAGCATTTACTACCAGGAATCACGTAATCCATCACCCATAATTTTGAAATAATTGTGTCCCCCAAATATCACAGAGTCTTCAAAGATTTGAAAGAGAAAACAACAACAACAACAAGAACAACAACAACAACAAAAACAAACACTCCTTTCCCTGTAGCAATATTCTACTCTATCACCCACACTTTTCCTCCTTACTTTGGACGATACCCTTTCTTTCCTTAATTGAAGTTCTTTTTTTCCTTTCCAGCGGACACTGGGGATTCTGGAAGAGCTGCAAAATCGTCAGCCATCATCAACAAACCCAGTTTCCTAAAGCACTGCTATGAAACCAATCCTCTCTCCTTCTCCAAGTGGGAATCTCTCAGATGCTCTGGTCTTCCTCTTTTTCAAACCTCATCGACTTTCGTGGTACCTGCCTGAGCACTTCCCAGGTTTCCTGTATTTTCCATAAGTGTATTCATTTATCTATTCATTCAAAAATGATTCAAGTAACTAATGAGGGTCAGGCGGGGCAAGCAAGGGTGACTAAACTGTGTTCTGCTCCCTGGAGAAACTTAGGTC